TTTTCTAACTCTTTCAAAGTATTCATCAATTTTTCATACTTCTCCTTTCTAACTCTGTTAAGTTGTGCAGTTATAGCTATTAGCTTTCCCCGTAGCACAGCCTTCAATGCATCCCAGAGAATTAAAGGATCAACTTCCCCATTATCATTTTCCTTAAGAAACGTATCAATTTCTTGCTTAATATCATTCACAATTTTTTCGTTGTTGAGAATACCCACATTGAGCCTCCACACAGAGTTTTTCGGTGTGAAGTCTATTTGGATAGTTAAGAAAATTGCATTATGATCTGAGATATCAGCGACTCCAATTTTACAGTCCAACACTCTGTAACACGCTTCCTTTTGCATTAGAAAATAATCAATTCGCGTATGTACGGAGTGCGGGACAGAGTAATGGGTATAGTCTCTTTGTGTAGGGTGTAATAGCCTCCATATATCTACAAGTCCAGTTTCTTTAAGAGTAGTGTTTAAAAAAAATTCAAATGCTTTTTTATTTCTGCTTTGACTAGTTGTGTCCAGATTATAATTCAGTATTACATTGAGATCCCCACCACAAATACAAATTCCCTCCGATTCTAGAGAGATCACATCAAATAAGTCTTTAAAAAAGGATCTATCACTATTTGGAGGCGCATATATACAAACTAAAGTCAATATGCTGTTTTCAGCTTTCCCCTTCACTATAACATAGCGCCCCTCTTTGTCTTTTATTTCTTTATATATGTCAAATTTCAAAGACTTCGAGATGAGGATGGCTACACCTCTTTTGTGACTATGAACACAAGAGCTGTGAAAGATTTCCTTGTATCCAAATTTTTTTAGTTTCTCATGCTCTTGTGGTGACAAATGGGTTTCCTGCAGAAAGAAAACGTGCTTGTTTTCTTTCTTTATTTTTGTCATTACCCTTGCTCTTTTGATTGCATTCCCAAGACCATTTACATTCAGTGACATTATTTCAAGTTTTTGTATCATCAGATAATAATAAAATAAAATGTAACTCTTCCTCCTCCCAGTGCCTCCAAAACAAAAAACAACAAAAATGAACAAATGAACACACAAAAGTATTTAACCTGAACACATTGACTTCCAAAATGAGGTATTGAAAATACACTCTGGGTTATAATCCCAACGTCAAATGAGGGGGTAAAGCCTCGCACGAAGCGAGGGCCCCCTCCCAAAACTAGTGATAACGCAAAATAAGTTTCACTCATTCCAGCTCAAACTTGACATCCTCAAAGTAGGGTAAATATATTCATCAAGCCTACGATAGAATCAACTTTGTCACCTACAACCGTAGGTCTAATCAGCACATGCTTTATGTGTGGGTTGTTACCCCCAAAATAAACAATCGAAAAGTACCCGTTGGGCATGCCGAAATTAAGTTAGGACGGGGAACGTTGAAACTCCTGTAGTCGATCGCGTACGCGTTTGATAGCTCCCTTATCTCTGTGGCGAGGGACGCGTTGCCATGGTGATGCGCTCTCCAGCTGATCCAGCAGGACAGCCGTGTCGAGACCTCCGCGATCCTGGGGTTCTTCCACCTCAATTCCCTGATTTCTCATCTCACGTGCAGCCTCCGTCGGGGTGTGGTACAACCGTGGGCCCGTGTCCCAATGGATTCGAAGTTTGGTGAAAGGTGATTGAAATCGGATGCCTTTGGCCTTTAGCGCACTCTTTATATGTTTATAAACTCGGCGCTGTTGCACCACAGCCGTGGTATAGTCATGGTCAAAAGCTACGGGCTTGTCTCGTTTGAGCATCTTCTTCTGCCACGCATTTTTCAGTACAGTCTCCTTGGTCTTAAATTCAAGAAAGTTCACTATAATGGATCGTGGTGGGGGGGGGGGGGGGGGGGGGGGGGGCATCCGCGATGAGCTCGTTGTATTTGCGGGTCCGTACCCTCGTTGATCAACTTTTCATTTCGAAGTAGGTTTTCAACGAAGGTTATTGTGGAGCTGCCCTCTTCCCCTTCGCGGACACCGTAAATTCTCAGATTATTCCTTCTCCCCCTTGATTCCAGATGGTTAATCTTGTCCATCATCTTCTTTTGCTCCTTTAGTGATTGTCTGAGCGCGTCATTAGCTGCCGATGACCAAGTCTCAAGCCCTCCTATGCGACTCTGGGCTTCTTCGAGTTTTCACTCTGTTCCTGTACCGCTAGCTTTGTCACGGTTAGTTGTTGGTTGATGTCTTGTTTAAGAGTATTCATCTCTTGTTTTATGTCCGCTTTGAATGCATCCAGATCCGATTTCAACTCCGCCCGTAGGCCACTTATCTGTTTGCTAATAGTTAGCATAGTTTCGTGTAGGGTCTGCGTTGTCGTCTCGCCGTCGCCATCTTCTTCATCGGTGTTCGCATGTGCTTCGTCTTGTTCGAGATTTTGCTGTTCTTTATCTCCTTGTATTCTCCTAGACCCTTTCCTTCCTCCCCCTGGCATATTTTCAAACAAAATAGTCTATTTCAGAAGCAGTTCACTTGAATTTCAGGGGAAAATACAATCCAACTTTGAGGAGCTCAAAGACTAATCCGCCATATTGGTCAGACTTCCGCCGGAAGTCCGACCAAACTATTTCAGATGCTTTAACAAACATGTAACTCAAACAACATAATGCATGTCAGCTTTCTCTCCTTCTGTGTCAGCATACAGAAATGAAGTGTAACCGGTCAGTGTGAAGCCACAAAAGCAAAAACACTATTTAAGTATGCTATTATTTAAATATACAACATAACACTATATAAACTAGTTTATACTTACACAGCATAACAGAGGTGATAGTCAGTGCTCGTATATAACCTGTGATGAAATATGAAGAAAAACAAACAAACAATGTATTGGATTGTACTGCAATTTTGAGTTTGAGAAAACTCATCATATATTTGTTCATAAAAGATTTTTGGTCAGCATGAAGTAGTATTTACATGTCTTAATAATGACAAGAAAAATCACCTTTATGAATGGAGGAAGCCATTGACAAATTTGGCAGTCCAGTGAATTTCTCTTTATCCTAAAGCCACAATCAGAGGACGAGTTTCCTTTACAGTTCAGAAGAAACAAACAAATGAGCTTTGACATTGATGCATGCCTTTTGTTTGTTTTCCTTTCTTTTTCAAACACTTATGGAAAATTCCACTGAATTTATGAATTTACATGTTGAAAGAGGTATAAGTGAGGACAGTTTTAAACATTTATAGATTAAAAAGAATGAAACCTATTGAGGATTTTAAAGTTAATGAGATAATTAAGTGATTAATTGAGTGATGATTGAGCATTAGTGATGAACACCTGCTGTTAACAAGCAGTATCAATGAAGAAAAGAGAAACAAGGCAAGGCAAGGCACGTTTATTTATATAGCACATGTCATACACAATGGCAATTCAAAGTGCTTTACATAGAATACATTAAAATAATCAAAAGAAATAAGAATAATTAAAACAGTTTGGAATAAAAAATAAAATACAGTGCACACAGTCGGACGAACAGTGCTCATTCAGTAAATGCACAGCTAAACAGATGTGTTTTGAGTCTGGATTTCAATATGACTACTGTAGGAGCACATCTGATCTGCACATCTGATCTCCTGATCTGTCTGACCCCAGTGCAACTCAAGGATGTGCTGATCACCTTTCTGATATTATTGATTTTCTCAGAGAAGAAAGAAGCAAACTCACTGCACTTGCTGTCTGAGAGCATTTCTTTGGGAATGTGACTTGGGGGGTTTGTCAGTCTCTCTACAGAAGTAAAAAGAGTTGTTTAAGTGTTGTTTAAGTTTCTGTTTATAATATTCGAGAAGAAACTCTGTCTAGCTCTGCCTAGTTCCATATCGAAAGCATGGATGCTGTCTTTGTAGATGTTATAATGGACTACAGGGGCGGAGTGGGACCCAAAAATCTACCGGGAAATTTCATAGACCACCGGCCCTCGTCGCCGGCAGGGCCGGATTAAGAGTTCAGAGGCCCCTGGGCACAATGTCTTGTAGGCCCCCTCTTATGCAGGCCAAATGTATATTTTGTCCAAGGACATTTTAATATGGCATTTACAGTTTTACTGACTTAAAAGGAACTTTGTTGTACTATGCTGGAGTAAAGTTCATAAATGGTTGTTCTTTCACATAGGATTTAGTAAAACTATGTTGGGTGGACCTCTGTACCTCTAGGGGGGTTCGGGGGCATGCTCCCCCGCAAGAAAATTGTGTACATTTTAAGGTTAAATGCATCAATCTGATGCTCTTTGAGAGCTCAAAATTAAGAGCTTCAACCCATGAACTGCTCATTGAACAAAGAAAAAGCATTGATTTGTACCAGGACATTAAAGAGGGCTCAAACATCTTTGTAGTTATGAGAGTCTCAGTCTACATTACATTATCACTGGTGTTTTAGGATGCCAAACAATTATTATAATAATGTAATAATGATTTATATAATTATTCATATGATGTAAAATCCATATAGCCTATAAATGTACTGTATAAATGAAAATGAATATTTCAAAAGTATATTTTAGCCTACATTACACTAGTATAGGAAAATTAAAATACTTTTGTCCTAATTGCTTCAATAGGCTTTATGCACAGCTTCACTACTTCCTGAACTTCAGCCAGCCCTTTGTTTCCTGTCTGTCATTATTGGACAAACTGATTAATCCAGGTGTGCCTGATTATTGTTACTGAGGCCAGGCACACCTGGATTAATCAGTTTGTCCAATAATGACAGACAGGAAACGATTTGGGAAAAGGGAGAAGAGAGAGTTCGGCAAAAGGCGGATTCGAACTCGGGTTGAACGCGTCAAAAGCTACTTTCCAGCACTTCACGCCCTACGACCTACGCCACTGTAGCTATTTTATGATGGGCGTCTTTTTGCTAAAAAGACAGGCACTTAGTGCAAATATACGCTCCGTTATCGAAAATGTAAAAAAAACTTCCCCCCTATATTCAAAAATAAATAGCCTATATTCAATCACATGTTATCAGCTTCAAAAGCCAGCAAGAGGAATCTGTGAACACTCAAATAAACTCAAACACACTTAAACAGGACAAACTTGACCTTTGTATTGATGATGCAGAAACAGCAGAAAGTGCCTGAATCTGATGTTTCTGTTCCTCTCTGATCACTTCAGTCTGATAAACAGATACACAAGAATGGAATATGAAATAAAAACAAAAATACAGTTTACTATATTACTAATGGTTATTGATCATTTTATTCAAAGGGAAAGTAATACAGCTCAAAAGCAGTTTCTCAATATCAGAATAATAGTCACGAACACATCAGAGAAGTTTGGTGTCCCAGATCACCATCATTCACATCGTGAGAAACAGGATGTTTTGAGTTTATTATAGCAATGAGAAAATAATGACAACTCTACATTTTGTAACAAATTCACATGACGATTGCCAATTTAAAAAAAAAAAAAAACAACAACAGAAACCTCAATCAGAAATAATACATTCACAATAAGAATGATTCACTAAAATAATAGAAGCAAAAGCACAACAAGACTGGATGAAACTTATTTCTCACAAATACATTTCCTCTTATCAGAGCATGGCACATCATTCCAGTTGTTCACAGGGCCTCTTTCAGGATCCAGTTCAATACAGTCCTCATTTGTACCTAGAAAGTTATTCGGCTCACCTCTGCGCCAAAACCTGAATAAAGTGTCAGTTTTTCAGTTATTCAGTACTACAGATGTTGAATGAAACTTTTTATCCATTCAGCTTCACAAGCTATTCATCATAAAACAGCCAACAATATTCACAGCACCAGCCCAGCTAACAGGGAACGATCTTATAACTTTGGCTAATGTATTGGCAAAGTTCTCTTAAAGTTATTAACAAACATTCTTCCAGTAACATTAATAGAGTGCTTCTTCAACAAATACCTTGCTGAAAGAAAAACAAAGGAATGTCAAGGTCAAGAGGCCGACTAAAGTTATATTCAGTTCTAAGAACTGTGGCTGAAGTGAGTTGTAGTTGTTTTCTGTTCTTGTTTTGCTTTCCTTCGGTGATTCTGCTTGTTTACAGCAGATGTTAAAATGTTTGAAATAATTTTTCAGGAACATCATACTAACCTTTAAATGAAGTTCTATTAACATTTAGGAAACTGGACGTTTTTATGTTCTTGGAATGTTACAAATCAACGTTCCTAGAATGCTAATTTGTTAATACAAATTAAGTTGAAAGAATGTTTTAGGAACGTCATAACCTTAAAAAAACGTACCTCTAACATCCAGAAAACTGGACATTTTATCGTTTCCATAAACAAAACAGAATTGAATGAGAATTTAAAGGATTTGACAAATGCATCCGAAGTGTTTCTCTGTGAGTGTTTTATCACTTACCCTTGTTTCAGTGGTGAATAATCCACCCATTTCATGATCCCTTCAGTCTCAGAGTCTGACAAACCTATCCACACTCTCGTCTTGATAAATGAAGTTATGAACCTCTGTGTGAATAAAAACAGGAGTAAGTGTGATTCTTCTCATTAACTAACAGACGCTCACACAATCTCACCTGCTTCTCTTCAGTGTTGATAATGATCAGATCAGCTCCTCGATCTCTACAGAACTTCCTGCTCTCAGACCAGCTCATCAGCTCATTGGATATGAAAAACGTGTCATTTCCTTTAAATAAACAGGAAAAAGATTGCTCATTATTTGTGTTGTAAAGTGCAAATATACATATAAATCCATTTGTACAAACCTTGTGTAGATAACCTCCTTAGTTCAGTCTCTAACTCCAGTTTCTTCTGACTCAAAGAGTCAAAACTTCTCTGTAACTGACTTTTCTCAGCACTAAGATCATTGACTCTGGTCTCCAGCTCCAGTTTCATCCGACTCAAAGAGTTGAAGTTGTTCTTCAGTTGGTCTTTCTCAGTCATTAGATCAGTGTTATTGTCCTGTAAGCTGTTGATAGTCTGATTGAACTCTTCAACTGTGTTCTTATAACTCTTTAACATGTCTCTCTCTGCTGTGATGGTGATGTACAGTGTGATGAAGACCAGCAGAAGAACACACATGAGCCCGAGACACACTGTCATCAACACCAAACACCTCCTTCCTCCTGACAAACAGAGACAAAACACACACATATCAGTGTATACCTTTCATATTGTTTTAAAAATATGTTTCAAATCAACATTTGTTAGTAATGGAGCATTGTTTTTAAACAAACGGTAAGGATTTTTAATGTTCATTTATGATGACAAACATCTGGAATTCCCATACGGTAAAATATGGAACATTGCATATAAAATCAGAAACAATGATAGTTTTTTTTGTGATTGAAATTTTACATCTCATTTCTTATCCGCTCAAACATTAGTGACACCGTCTCTGCGTCAAACGAAACGTTCTGCTTACTTTGCTTTCGCTCTTTTTCTTCATCATTGCTGCGACTCAGTGTTGGAGGTCTCGATCTGTTATTAATATTTCTGCTTACATAAAAGGTCCCTGATTCCATTATTAGCTCAAACTTACAGTACAGTATGTGTTCACAGATGAGGTGTGGTCTTTAAGATGTGTGCCATGTTTTTAAATAGTACCAACACAGGAAGTGGTTTTTATTAGTTCAGACACGGATACATCTAGATTTCATTCTCACTCTAAATCTCTCTATATGCTTATACTACTGTATGATTGAACATATATGACATATTCAACCTCATATAGTCAAAGCATTGTGGAGTTTTCCCTGTGATCAAGTTAGCATCTACAACATCCAACAAGAGGAATCTGTGATCACCAAAACTGACTCATATTCACTTATTAAACAAGCTGAACTGGACATGGGTGTTGATGACCATAAACTGGAAGTGATTTACATTGATGACATGTTCAGGGACAGAGAGGATGATGGGAAATAGAGATTGTGGGATGAGTACTTTCTGTTATTAGACACAAGTGACTGACAACAGGAAATTCACATTTTCCTTTTCTCAGTAGATGTCACCGTTCTGCCATTTTCACTATGATGGTATATATAAATAAATGAATGAAATAAGTGAATAAATAACCCATTACCTTTGAGTTTATCTTCTAAGTTGACCTGACAATCAGGGTATCTTCCGTCCATTCCAAATCCGTTTTCAATTTAAAAAACAGAAAACGAAAAAACGAATCGTTTTTTAATTTATAATTTTATTGCCTTTGTTTAATATTTACTTAAAGTTATATTTTTCTATTCTGCCAGACACATAATCTACTCTAAATAATGGATTTTAAAATATTGGCCTAAAAATTGAATATGACATTTTGATTTTTTAACTAAGCTGTGACCCGGAAGGTCACATGCCGGGACAAATGGAAACGGAAGAGTGCGGATGCCGAATTCAGTCGCGAAACTTCCTTCAAGCAAGCCATGGATACATACACGCTTTTCAAGGGTCCTAAGAGGGTAACTTTAAAGGACGAAGACATGACAACTGATAAGATTGGCCCTATATTTCAGGTAATGATTTAGATATATATTTTTTTTAAACAATAAAACGTATCGCCTATATATATATATATATATCATATGCCACTGCAGTGATGGGCAAACTCGCCTTATCCAGGCCAATGTCCTGCAAAGTTCAGCTCCATCCCTAATCAAGCACACCGTTGCCAGTTAATCTCTGTCTTAATGAATACTGGAATGCTACTGGTAGGCGAGTTTTATCACGGTTGGGTCTAAACTGCAGTGAGGCACAGCCTGCAGGGCCGAATTTGCCCATTATTAGAAAATGTTACAATTAAGCAAAACTATATAATCTTATAGACAACTATCAATTTTAATTAAAGGTGTGTAGTTCCAGTGTTTACATCACAGATGATAGCAACATCGCTATCTTCGCTGGAGCGAGTGGATTTTTTAGTAGTGTCGATCTTGTTGCAAGAGGACACTACGAAGTTCACGGAGATTCTGCCGAGGTGCAACACCGGACTCAAGTGTTCGACCCATTGCTGGATCTGGGTCTGTGCGCTTTGCATTTCAACGACCCAGTGCGGCCGCAGGCATCTTTGTCTACGCCGCGGGCCAGTATGTCAAAACCTTTTCAACGGTGAGTTCAACAAACGTTTTGCCCATGGGAACAATATTATTATATGACAGTTTTGGTTGATACTCTTGAGTTTTAACGAAAAATTGAAGACCTTAGCAAATGGCATATGTTATCAGTTCACTGTCAGTTCTCTAATAATAGCAAGGTTTTTTTTTAACAACTTGTATGTCTGCCTGAATTATTGAAGCCAGAAATATACTGTGACTACACTGTATGTTGGTATTGCATTCTCCCTAGGTCTAGGCTATAAGAAGATGGGGTGGTCTTTGGATATTTAACTAAACATATTTTCATTTCAAGGAATGTTTTTCTTGCTGATCTGGTTGGTGGAAAATGGACACCCCAGAAGACTGTGGCGATCCGTTTTCATGAACATGAGGCATCAGTTCCTGGTATCTTGGCAAAAGTCCAAGATGCTATTGGATCAGAAGATGGTATGATACTGACTGATGGCCAGGGGAATGAAATTCTCGAAACAGAGGGAACAAAAGGTAACTGCAAAAGATGAGATTGACTACAAGCTGTTTTAAAAAAATCTAAGAAGAACACAATGAAAACACCAGTAAGGTCAGAGAAATGTAATACCAGTTGATAAAAAAAAAGTTCTATACACCTAAACAATATAAATATGATTTTAAAAATGTGTGAAATTAAGGGTTTAATTCACATAAAAATATGATACACATTAAAATGACCTGCATCTTTCTGACCCTCAAAAAGTTCAAGAAAAATGATCAGGTTCCGAATGACGAAGCCTTGATACAGTAGAGGGCAAAAAAGCACATTGAAAGCAGCTTGTTTTGGTGTCTGCATTTTAGTAGTGTTGTTTTCATATTATAAAATGTTCACTTGTTCAATCTTGACATAATTAATCTTTTAAAATACAAATGATTTCCCCAGGGTCAGCTTACTGGAAACACAATTCCAGGAAGGTTTTTGCTGTGCCTGAACAACAGTTCTTGGATATGAGATCCAAAAGGAGATGATTAAGGTAAAATAGCGGATATTTGGAGCATGTTAGTTACTAACATGTAACCGACTTAAATATTTGAAAAACATGGTGTGCTTATTGTAACTTCTTTCCTCAGCCAACGGGATGATGACAGCCAGCTACCAGAGGTCTTAGAAAGAATTGGCATCCCAAGAACTGCCAGAGGTTGCACAGGCCATCAGATGCTTATCTGAGCTGACGTTGGCACGCAGACGTTTTATTACATTCACGGACGAAGAATGTGCAGCTGTTAAAAATGCATTTGCTTGCATAATTTGCAAAGGATTGTTAACAAGATAATTTAGTCTCTATAAGATTTGTTGATAGCCAGGATAGTATTTTGTGAATTAAACTGTAATTCTTATCTCTTCTCTCTGGATTAAGATCCCAGATATATTATGCAAAAACTAACAAGTAATGTTCTTTATTTAAAATTTCTAGGGCCTATGAATGATCCTGTTTTTGCAGTTTGCTGTCAGAGTCTCATTCCATGCAATGGCAGCGAAATGCCAACACCTGTGTGAAATGCAGAGGAGACAACTCAAGGGGAAACAACTACAGGAATCACAGGAATTGGAATTGAGTCACAGGAATTGGTGGTGCATTGTCTGCTTTTGGTGATCTTATCAAAGATTAAATACAGTGGGGAAAAAAGTTGTATACCAGTTACAAGTGTCACACGTTAAGAAGTTTCATAATATGGCACTATACAGCAGCTCTTTATTAGTTACTGGTGTTTGTTACACGTTAAGAGTAAATATACTCTTGAATATACAGTATTAAAAAAGTTATTACTGTTCAGTTATTGACTTAAAAGTGAGAAGCACTACAGGCAGCACTTTTTCTGCTTTAATCAGAGTAATTAAATACATTGTATATAATGTAAGTTATATACCATATATCACTGTTTAAGTGTCAAGTTCAACTTTTGAAGTAAAATGCAGCACTGGATAGCACTTTATTAAAGCTTTAATGTGACAGTTTTATACCTCAAATTACAGCATTGTTTAAATACAATTGATAATGCCTATGTTCAAAAGACTTGCTGTTTATTTTTGTACTTTGTAAAATTATTGTTCAGAGAAATATGTAATAAATGTTAGTTTTATGATGAATGTCTTGTTCCTGATATACTTAAAGAAACCTTCATCTTCATGAATAACGTCTTGTTACATTTATGAGATGTAATATGGCTTCTTTAAAGGGTGTGAAGTCATAATTTACAGTCTGATCAAAGCACTGTGTAATGTCTGGATAATGATCAGCAAATTCGTCCTCCGCCTGGGCTCTGTCTTCCTCACAAGAAAAGGGATCTGTCCCAAATGTTGATGTTCTTGTCAGACAGGACCCCACATCTTGCTGGTACATGTCAGCAACCACAGAGGCCTGTGGAAGGAGTTCCTCGTAAATCTTTGCTGGACACCCACCTTCAGCCAAGATGTTTGGTATTCCTTTTCCTACAACAGCAGTACCATAATTAATATATAAACAAGAAAAAGGTTTTAAAAAGTTGTAAGTAAAGCTAACTCTAGCATGAAATCGCTGGGATCTCGATCATAGAGAGGACACAAAATCTACATGTAGCTTGACAATGGTGCAATTATTTACAAAATAATGATTTGTATATAATTTTGTATGTTTACATTGTTACAACCAAAAAAAGAAAATGCATATTTAGAAATACCTGCAATCCTACACAGCAAAATCCCCAGTGTTAAATCAACACTGCTCAGAGCACATATGGTCCCACTCTACAGAGTGTTAAAGTAACACTGAAGCAGTGTTAAAGTTAATGAGATAATTAAGTGACTAACTGGGTGATGATTGAGTATTAGTGATAAACACCTGCTGTTAACAAGCAGAATCACTGAAGTAAAGAGAAACACAAGAACTACAACTGACTTCCAGTCACAGCCTTAGATTAAATCAGATGAAGATAAAAAGAAGATCTCTAATAATCTCATTAAATCTCTGAAGATCTCAGCAGAGGAGGATTAAACAACTCCACAAACAGCATTACCAGCTTTATTTATTACTAACCAGACTGA